TACTAGGCTGATATGCTAATGTCAGACTTTGGCATCAGTCATGTGTATGGAGCTCTATGGGCCTACTAGGGACCACAAGCCAGAACCTGGCCCCCCCTCAGAGAGGCATGGGGGAGCAATGGCTTATAGAAACCCCCCGTGTGGTTGGAAGTATTCTATGTCTGCCATCGACCGGGTCAGGCACCCAGAAAGGTAAGCATCCCAAAACCCCTATTCTGGTGAAAATATTGCTACCAAAAGCCGAACAAGTGGATAGAACTTCCCTAAAAGAAATGAGCAAACGAGTATGACGTCACACGTCGCAGAGCCGCTGTCTGTGCAGCTCCCTCCTCCCCTGAAGGAGAACCCCAGACCTCCCACGCCGGCCATCCACCCGTCAGTTCTGAGGCTGGATGTCAAAACACACGAAAAACCACCGACTGGGAGGGAGGGAGGGATGCTGGGGAGCCTCCGGGTCTCAGAGGAAAAACTACCCACAGAGGAAAAACATAGGGACTTACCCGGGAGGCGGTCGCTGCTCACTCCTCAACTCGAAGTCGAGACAACTGCACGGGGATAGACTGCAGGCTAGCTAGCCTTAATATCTCTGTGGACGATGTGGGAGAGCCGCACCTACAAACGAGGAAAACCGGATCAACCCGAATCGCGTCCCCAGACACAGAAGCCGTGGCGTGCAAATAACGGCGAAGAGCCGCAACCAGACACAAAACATGATGAACCCCCGGCCTGGCCAACCAAGCATCAACAACCCAGGGACCCCTCCGGAAAGCAGCAGTCTTATTCTTCGCCAGAAAAGAAGGAGACGGCTGCAAGTGAATAAAACCATCACGATGACCAAAGGAGCAGAAACCCCTGCGCCGGAGGAGAGCATGAAGCTTCCCAACCCGACTCCCAGAGGCCAATGCCAACAGAAAAAGAGCCTAGGAGAAACAATCCTGAACCGAAGGGGCCACAACAAACCGAGGAGAAGAAAGAAAAGAGAGCACTCTGTCCAAAGACCCCAGGACGACTCAGATGGCACATGAGCAGACCGTAGGTGAAACAATGCACGAGACAGCTTGTGAAACAGCGCTGAAGTAACATCAAGACCGAAGCAAGCTGAAGCAGCTCCGCCAGCGCTGCACGATACGAGGCGACAGTGTTAGGCATAAGGTGACGGTCCTGGAACAACCAAGAGAGAAAGGACAACACCACCCGAACAGAAAGTGAAGTACAACGACAAAAAAGCAAGAAAAAATGCAAGGACCACCAGGAAAATTCATACTGCCGCCGAGATGAAGCCTGCAGGTGGGACACTAACAAAAAAGCCACCTGATCACCAGAGAGATGATGATAAACTCGCGTCAAAAATACCATACGCGAAGACTCGAGGACAAGATCGAACCAGCCACATGACGTTCTGGTCCGATATGCTGGAAGAGACAGAGTGCCGCGACCACACCGACACGAAGAGGTCTACCTCGGGGTGACCGAAAGTTTGGCAAAGCCAACTGAAGGAGTCGGCATTGACTGTCCATTCTGTGGAGAGGGGAATGAAACGAGACAGGCCGTCGGCCAAGACGTTGGACACTCCCCGCACGTGAACCACCAGGAGAGCCATTCTGGTGGTGAGCAGGAGAGCCCCCCAGAAACAGGCGCAAGCATGACCGCAGCCGCAGGAGAGACTCCGGAGGGAGAGACAAGGAAGCAGTCCGAGAGTCCCACACAAGACCCAGCCATGTCCGAACCTGGAAGAGAACCAGATGGGACTTCCTCCAGTTCACCAAGAACCTGAACCCGGCGAGCTGGGAAAGAACCAAATCCCTGGCTAGCAGACAACTGTATCAGCTGGGAGTCCAAACCAGCCAATCGTTGATGTAGGCCAACATCCGAACACCTAAGAGATGTAGACGGGCCACTACAACCTGTGTAAGGCGTGCGAACACGCAAGATGCCAGGTTCAACCCGAATGGGAGACAACGAAAGCAGTAACCCTGATGCCCAAGCCAGTCCCTAAACCCCAGATGAATTGTGATGTGCCAATAAGCATCCAGGAGGTCCAGGGACACCATCCAAGCGCTCGGCTCCAACAGGAGTCGAACCTGGGATAGCATAGTCATCCGAAAGGAGGGGCAATGAACCCGGGGGTTCAGATGGGACAAGTCCAGAATGAACCGTAGATCTGTACAGTCTCGTTTTGGTACTGGGAACAGACGGGAAACCCATCTGAGGGACGGCATTGTTTCGACCACGCCCAAGCAAACCCACTCCAAAATGACTCGACAGAGCGCAGGGAAAGAGGCATGCCCCATCCTCGAACCTCCTGAAGGAGGAGGGGCCACCCAACGCCACTGAATCCAAGAGAAACGACCCAAAACGCCCACAAATCATGGGACCAAGCGTGAGCGAACAGCACAAGCTTCCCCCCCATACCCCATCGCCCCGTCAATGGGGCAAACCGCAAAAGGGCCGGGGCTCTTACGAGACCCAGAACCTCACACAGAGCGACTACTGCGCTGACCAGACGAAGGAGGGACCGAAGGGGTGGCCGAACCTGAACCCGACACCTGTGGCCTACCACGACGAGAGGAACCCCAAACCCTGGCACAACCCCTCCGGGAAGGCCCCCCCCCCCGGAATCCCCGGAGAACCAACAAGTCAGACATAGGCCGACAAGTAGCCGAAGCAGACTGAATATACTGCGCCAGGCAGAATCCTCAAAAAGCAGATGACAAAAAGGCGAAGACATCCTAAGAGCCCGGGCCCAGGCCGATTCCAGGGAGAAAGCAAGCACCACCTGCCAACATGCGAGCCGGGAAGCATAGAACAGGGAAACCGCATCCCACAGGATCGGCACAAACAGCCGACGAGCGGGTCGCCGAGCCCAAGGCATCGGACCCAGGGACAGCCCCGAGCGCCCCACATCCTTCTCAAGCCAGTCCAAAGACAGCTCCAGGAAGGAAAAGAAACGCAAGGCCGAAGGCAAAAGGCCACGGGTGCGCACGTCCTCAGCAACCTGCGCAGTCGAGAGGGAGGGAACCTGCACATGGAGCTGCACCATGCCCACATCCTGAGGAAGGGCAGGGGCAAACAGGCACTCATTGAGGTACTCCAGGTCACCCCCAGGAAAACCTGAACCACTATCGCAGCCTCGAGCCAATCAAGCGTGCGGGTACCGCAGAAAGAATGTCAAGCCTCCAAAGCAAAGACAGGACAGTCCACCAGCCAGGCAACTCCGGAACCTCGTAACGGACCCAGAAAGGAAACGAAGTCCCAAACCTGAACGAAGATGGATCCGTCACCGAGGCATAATCTGGGGTCACGCAGGAGGTAAGCCGCAAGGGCTGTCTGCACCGCAGAAGGTTGGATGCGAGAAGCTGAAAACCTCCGGAAGCCACCATTCTCAAAGCACAGTGCTGAAATTATCACTGGAGCCAGAGCACACAACCGTAGCCTCTAGCATCAGCCAAAGAACTGCCAGGTGGATAGCCGGCATGGAAGGTCTGGGGCTCCCTCTTTCCCCCTCCCGGGGAAGAGGGAGCTGCGCAGACAGCGGCGTGGTGATGTGTCACGTCATGCTTGTTTGCTCATTTCTTTTAGGGGAGTTCTATCCACTTGTTCGGCTTTTGGTAGCAATATTTTCACCAGAATAGGGGTTTGTTTTGGAATGCTTACCTTTTTGGGTGCCTGACCCGCTTGATGGCAGGCATAGAATGCTTTCAACCACACGGGGGTTTTCAATAGGCCATTGCTCCCCATGCCTCTCTGAGGGGGCCAGGTTCTGGCTCGTGGTCCCCGGTAGGCCCATAGAACTCCATACACATGACTGATGCCAAAGTCTGACATTAGCATAACAGCCTAGTAAGTTCCGGGGAGCCAAAGGGGCTTTCCCCAGAAAAATTTGGTGTGTAAATATAATTACAAGTATCATATGATTTTTTGTGTGCTTTTGTATTACATTTTCTTCAACTAATCAGCATAACACCTAAAAAAAAACATCATTGAATGTAATGAAATGTGCCTTGTAGAGTGAGCCCCAATGGCTTCATGAAACTATGTTGCTGATGTATAGCTTCCCAATACAAGCCACATCAGTAATAGTTGACATGCTGGCCTACCAGAAGACCAGACCAGGACCTGGCCCCTTCCCCCTTTAAGAGGCTCTCAGGGGCAAACTCCCAAACACACCAGAGAAGGTGCTCTGGCCGTGCACGGGCAATGCTAAAGGTGCACCTAGGAAAGAGCAACCTAGACCCATCCTGCTCCAAGTGCAAATAATGGAAAGTTCACTGAAAAGCATATCTTGAAAAAATGCTTGTGAAGCAAAATACCAAAAACTAGGAGCTATATGCTAGCTAGCTAGCTGAAAAGTCTCCCCAACATCTTGCATCAGCAACAAGACTGAATGTGGGACACCAGCTGGTGGCTTGACACATGCACATTGGGGTGGATGTTTTGTACCCAGTTACAAATGAACCAATTCATTTCGAGTGATTCTTTTGCAGTGTGTGATGGCTAGTTTAGTGCTTCATTTTCATGAACGTGCATTTGTTTGTTTTGTCTCGTCTGCTTTCTGGCCATTTTCTTTGTGAGGGTATCATAACAATCACCTGCTCCCTGTGTCTTTTCACGGGGGAGGGGGAGCCAGGTTATCACTTTAATCTCTGGTAGAACAATTTGGTCAATTCCTTTGATCAATGTGGCTAAGTATTGAGAAGCTATATCAGCGACAGCTTCAGGGAGTCACCAAGGGGTTACCCCAGGAAAGAATATTTACTTTGCATTATTTATAGCTGTTCTATCTGTTCTCAGTGGAAAATCATCAGAGTAGTAGAGCCCAGAATTAATTATTGGAAAAGAATGTAAATTTAAAATAAGTACAGTATATGGGAATGTACATAAGAATTTTTAATAAAGCAAAACCGTGTTGACCGAATCTGCACAATCTCACGTACAATAGCCTATGCAAATAACATGGGCAAAAATGAGGTTATTAGAAGAGAAATTAACTTAATTCTCACCATTTGAAGGGCAATAGCTCTGAAGTCTTGATGGGTAAAAGCTGCCAGACTGAATCTGAAAACCAAAAATAAAATTAGAGAATACAGTATCTCTTAATGGCCTGCTATAGCATTACGATCAGTCCCCCCAGTTGATTAATTATACAGAACAAGACCAACCAACTGCTGTTTTACTTATAACAGCGACACTTTCAAAATCTGGATCACATCATTCTGGGCCCAAGCAGGATTCAAGATATTTAAGAATTTTTAATAAAATTGCAGTTTTTGGCTATTTATCACCAAATTTTCTGGATTTATCTTATAGCAAATGATATAATACACATTTCAGCATATTTAGACATACAATGTATAAATAATAATTTTGTGTATAATGTATAGTATAAATAATAATACAGTACACAAAAATACAAAAATATTAATTAGGTGGCATGTGATTAAGAATTTGTATATAAAGTTTCAAAGTGCATGAGGTGAATTGTAATGGTGTGTATATTTAGGTAAGATTAGTACAGTATAAATCATTAGATAATACATCTCTACCACATTCTGGGAAGTGTTCTGGGTTCCCACTTATGGAACATTCCTTGAGTTTTACAAACATTTTGGATTGTATTGTTACATCAATACACACACTAAGTATTCTGAACATTCTAGGACGATACCCTTTGGTGGTTCATCGAAGTTATCTTGACGAGATGGCTCCCCACTACCGAGTCCTGTCAGGCCTACCAGGGACTAGAGCCAGAACCTGGTCTCTCTCTCAGAGGTGCATAGAGATGGAGGACTATTATCTTTACCTTTAATGAGAAAGTATCCAGAAAGTCAGTGAAGCTTTACAGACAACTGCAAAGTTCTTGGAAAAAGCAAAACAAAAAAATCTTACCTGACATGATATGTTTGCAATAAGATTCTTGCAGTAGACAGTGGTGGCTCTCTTGATAGCAGACAAACTTTCTTTACTTCTGATTCCGCATGGAGTATCAATTCCCAGCCAGTCTTTACTTAGTTCCTTACTATCTATTTCCACTGCATCTGGAGGACCTGAGGGTTTGTGATAAAAAGCAGGTATTACATTTCTGTAAATGTACAGTATTTCTATTGGTACTGTATATTTGATCATAAAATTGTTAAAATCCTGCACTAATCATGTGCTAATCCACATTAAACAAAAATTTAAACACATACTCGGCAGTGCAGCAGTACTGGCTTGAAACCGGACTGATGTTATTAAACTAAACATGATACTGTATTATTAAATATGGAAATCATTTGAATCTACCACAGAGCTATTCAGGACCTTGAGGACTTCCACTTGTACAATCTTGTCTTTGTTTTAGAGTGAATTGTTGAATATAATACAAAATATAGAAGGTGTATAGAAATAGATATATAGAATATAATACAAAATATACAAATCAATTTGTATACTGTACAATGTTTCAAAAATGCTAAATTATCATATGTTATAATTTTTAAAAACCTTTTCAATGTGTATTTCATTGAAAAATTTTACTCTAATGCTCATATAATTTTGCCAATGGTACACTGAAAGAGGTCCAGCCATGGCTCATATATTAACAAAAATCATACATTAATAATTTGTCACTATTTTACTTGAGAAAGAGCATATATAAGAAGCAAAGTGAATGACCAAATCAGTAAAATGTAAAGTGGTACTGCAGATACACACATACAGTATTTAAATAAAAACCTAACATCAAATGTAATGCACAGATTCCTTCAGGAGGGAGTCCCATGTAAACCCTTCAGTTGTCTGTAAAGTTTTACTGACTTCCTGGACACTTCTTGTGGTGGGGTGGCAGACTGTTACTCACTCCCTGTGCCTCTGTGAAGAGGCCAGGTTCTGGCTCTGGTACCCAGTAGGCCAAACACAACTAGTGCAACTCGTGTGATTTTTTAGTATGAGCAACCTGAGCATAAATAGCTTCAGGGAACCACCAGGGGGGTCTCTCTCCAGAAAAAATGTTAAGAGAATTATACACACCTTTATTGTGGCTATCAGCATCTCCGCGATCATTTGCTTGATACATACGACTCTCAACATCAGATTGTGCTCTCTGAAAACATTTAAACATGATACAGTAATTATTGACTTACAAACCTATGCCATTTCAAACCTAATCAGAATAAATGAAGGTAAATAAATATACTAGTACAGTACAGACAAAACAATTAGTTGGGCAATGCTGTCTTTCCAAATTTATCATATTATTCTCATGAATACATCATTTTACAATTTTGTTTTGAATAGGATAAGTCCACCAGTCTCAGGGCCCTGGTAGTTTAAAATAACCTTAATTTCTTGCATCATTCAGTAAACACACACAATAAATTGCTAGAGCATCTGCATAAACAGTGGAACACCCAATATCAGATTCTACTCCACATTAAAGGAAGATTGACCTGTAACTGTAGGTTAACCCAAGGAAATGTCTGGAGCACATCTTCTAAACCCCGCCCCCTCCCCTCCCATAATCACTGGTCTGCTATTGGCTTAATAACTTCTTTTAGTACTAACCACATCATTAACACACATATAAAGGACATTGTGTAAGGAGCATATGCCATTCTTTCCAACTTCAGAAGTGCTGTTATCCCTAGGGCTGCCCCACTGTTTATACCATGCGACACCCAGGTGCACATAAAAAAAAATGAAGAGTTAAGAATTTTTTTCCTTCTAGCATTGTTAAAATACATTCCCTGATCACATGAAAAATAATACAGATATGTTATGTGACCTACTTTGCCCATGGTGACGCCTGGAAGTCTCGTGATGACATCACGATTCATGTGCTTATCAAGCAATCACCTTGGGATGATTGCCCCGAGCCAGCCATCAAGCAACAGTTGCCAAGAATATATTTTTTACATATTTATTTAAATGTTTGATTATTTTTTCCTCTGGTTATTTGCAGTAATACTATTAAATAGTATGTTTTTAAGAAATTTTTATAATAAAATGGGTGGTGGAACATCGGAAAGTTCAAATATATTCATGCCATTTAGATACGTCTATATTATTTGCTAATTCTAGGTACAATGTTGCTATTATTATCAGCACTCTGATAACAATAGTGTGTAATTTATTAAATTCATATAACTGTGGATCATAGCTATACTAAAAAATATTGTGCAAAGGTTTGTGACAAGATTATTATATACACTATTACCCAAGCTGCACACGCTGTTTGTGTCCATAAACTACCCTGCCTGTGGCCACTTTGGCCCTTACCTTGAGGTATGATATAATCATACCTGGCTTGTGTTAGGATGTGATCATACTACACTGACCACTGAGCCAGGTGTACAGTTAACGTAGTTCAGATAAGGCTGGGTTATGTAGATTTAAAAATCAATTGGCAAACAATCTTGGGGTACGAAGTGAATTGTATTCCTTACCTCGACCATGCTCGCCTCCTCCAGAGCATTGGACCGCCCGAAGTCTTCCACAAGTCTTTCATCTGACCCCAAGCGCAACACGTAATAACCCGAAAATCCTTGAAATAGGATAATCATCATTCCGATAACGAGGTAGAGTCCGTACTTTCTGCATACTACTCGGAATATATTAAAACTTACAATCAAAATAGCGCGAACAGGGGCGATTGCCATCCTGCCGCTGATATGTCAACAAACCACTGTGCAGGGAAGCCAACCCACCCGCCTCAAGACACCCGTGTAGAAGAGACAGTCTTGAAGATAGTTATCATATATAATATAATAAATAAATCGCAACATATGACTACCATTCGATGAATGCACTCGAACTAGTTTTACTTAATAATTTAGCTGTGTATATATTGTTTCACTACAGTAATATATACGGTGGCAACGAAAAGGTTGGTATTTCAGCGTGGGTTAGCAGATAGTAAAAGCTAGCACAGTAGAAGGTTTAATATTTTCACTCTTGACCAGTATTTATTGTCACTACGAGAGTGAAAATCTGTACTAATTGCTACTTAATACTGCTACTGACAAACTGAATGTCATAGATATATATTCATTAGTGTTGGCAACGAGAGCACGTTGCTAACAACTCAGATGGTCGCGAATGGTAATGATAAACACAGTAGCGAAAATTAATCGCAAACATTTGGCATTTCAGGCTGTTCATTTATGTATTAACTTCATTTGTAAAAAATTAACAATAACATGTTTAGGCGCCAGTTGTATCATAATGAATTAAGAAAGAGTAAATTAAATTGACTAAATTGAAATTGAAATTGAAATTGAAATAAGTTTATTGAGGTAAAATACACACAAAGGGATGAGGTAGCTCAAGCTATTCTCACCCCATTCAGTACAACGTGTTAATATATACATAGACAAATTGACTAAATGGATCTATATAGATTGTCAGTTATGTAAGTGACCTCGTATTATATATCTCATATTTGCACCGGATGTTTTTGCATGATGGCCTGTATCGTGGCTCTTACTAATACAATGGGCACACGCGCGGCCCTCCCACACACAGCAACCAAGCACAAGGGCATGTAGAACTACAGGAATAACAGGACACCAGAGAGCAAAGAAGGAGGGCAGGGAATGATAATAATAATAATAATAATAATAATAATAATAATAATAATAATAATAATAATTATTATTTATTTAGGAAAAGTACATACATAGATGCAGAGTTACAAACATAATGTTGGATTTATAAATAGAGCTAGTACACACAATACCTATAAAGCCACTAATACGTATAGCGTTTCAGGCAAGGTGTGGAGGAAAAACATTTAGACTAAACTTAATAGTAATTGAGAGTAAAGTATAAATTGCGTTGAAAAAAGTAATAAAAAAAGAAAAAAGGGGGGGAACAGGACAAAAATCCACAAATGTACAAGTTGGTCAACAAACAGCATTGTTTAGAACAGCAAGACATGGGTTGACATTTAGGGGTAGGGTCATTTCACATTCTGGGTCCCTTGAGTTGTAGAGCATTTCTAGTTTGGTTAAGTCGCACTCTTGGAATATCAAATAGGTATTTGTTTCTGGTGTGGTACCCATGAGTTCTGTTACAACCTTCTAGGAAACTTTTAAGGTCAGAAATGACATTGCAGTTCAGAGTTTAAATATATAGAGTACACATGAGAGGATGTGCAGTGACTTAATATCTAACATATTCAAAGATTTGAGTAAGTGGTACCGAGTGCTGTCTGAGGCCAGAGTTAGACATTGTTCTTATAGCAGCTTTGAGTTGAGTAATTAGAGGACGTAAATGATTTTGTGTAGTAGAACCCCGAGCACGAATACTATAGATAAGATAAGGATAGATGAGAGAATAATAGAGCGTCACCAGGGCAGGGTGAGGTACATTTTTTTTTTTTTTTTTTTTTTTTTTGAGATATATACAAGAGTTGTTACATTCTTGTACAGCCACTAGTACGCGTAGCGTTTCGGGCAAGTCCTTAATCCTATGGTCCCTGGAATACGATCCCCTGCCGCGAAGAATCGTTTTTTCATCCAAGTACACATTTTACTGTTGCGTTAAACAGAGGCTACAGTTAAGGAATTGCGCCCAGTAAATCCTCCCCGGCCAGGATACGAACCCATGACATAGCGCTCGCGGAACGCCAGGCGAGTGTCTTACCACTACACCACGGAGACTGCTAATATGTACATAATATGTAAATATGTGCATATGTACATAATATGTGATCTTAGAAAGAATGCCAAGAGTTTTAGAAACGTTTTTTCTAAGAAAAAGAATAGGTACCTCAGGGTGAGAAGAGAGTGTGGCGGCAAGAGAATAGAACAAGATGACCTCCAAGCTTGTGTAGATGCTGTGAGACCGCTGTTGAACACACCATTAACAGCATCCCACAGCAGGTCAGCCACCACCAACAAATACAACGGCCTAAATGTTCTGTATCAATCTTCGACAAGTTACTAAGTTCTTTAATACCAAAACTTATGTTCCAGGCCCACATGTTAATCTGTGCTGCCAAATCAAAGGAGGCAACAATGGGCTCACCTTTTGAACGTATATTCACCAATTGTGCCCCGTAAAAAAATAAAAATATATATAAAAATAACTAGCAAGGTGTGCATGTTATTGCAGACATGTTGTTGATGTCGCTGTCGTCGCCAGGGATCGAGGGAGCTCCAACTTTAATTAACTCAACTATGAAGGACGGAATTGCCTCGCGGTTAGTAAGCGAACTAAGACAAAGACGATGGAATATAATTAATAAATGTACACGACCTTCTAATCCCGAACACACACATACCCTTATTACTTGGAAGAATAAAATGAAAATGCTCTACGTCTGCTCTCTCTCTCTCTCTCTCTCTTTTCCCGTCCACCACCTCTGTACTGCCAGTCCGTGCCAGCAGGGAGCGCTACCCGCGACCAAGCAGGGATATACAGTGACTGTTATCCAAACTCTCTTCTCCTTTCACCAGTCAGCCCGGCAGAGGTTGTGTCCATCATACACTCTCTAAAAACCAAGCCAGGGAACACCAGTGATCTGGTGATCAATGATCTGCCTAATGTCTCTAATATTCTTAAACCTATATTGTTTGCTGATGATACTACCCTCATCTATTCAGACCCCAACCCACATACACTAAATAATGTTGTGAATAATGAATTAAAAAAAGTCCACCTATGGATGTCAACTAACAAACTAACACTAAACATAGAAAAGACCTACTACATCTTATTTGGAAGCAAATCATCGAATGCAATTCAGCTACAGATAGACAACATTAACATCAGTAATAAAAATGATGGAAAGTTTCTTGGCCTATTCCTAGACAAGAGACTCAACTTCAGCACCCACATTCAACACATAACAAAACAACTTTATCATTGTGTTCATTGCTGTCTTCTTTTATGTGCTAGCCATATGCTGTATTGTGCCTGCTAAGTTTTGTTATACTACCATTCAAGCTGTCATTGCAATAATTCTGAGCAACCTATGTGCTTTAATATACATACAATTTTCTCTCATCTTTTATTTTTTTCATGCTATGTAACTGTTATCATTTTTATAAATTTTGCAAGTATTTACCTTATAAGTTTCTTAGATTAAGGACCTGCCCGAAACGCTGCGTGTACTAGTGGCTTTACAAGAATGTAATTACTATGCTATGTATCCTCACAATCCCAATGTACCTTCTTGTATATAAATAAATAAATAAATAAATAAATAAAATAATAAATAGCTGTACCCCGCCATGACTGCGACCCTCAGGCAAGGATGAGCTCAATACGCCAATATACTTGACGCACATTGTCTGGCTAATGTTACGCTGTGTTATTTGTGTGTTCTCCCTCCAGTAGTGGCTGTGTGTTCTCCCTCCAGTAGTGGCTGTGTGTTCTCCCTCCAGTAGTGGCTGTGTGTTCTCCCTCCAGTAGTGGCTGTGTGTTCTCCCTCCAGTAGTGGCTGTGTGTTCTCCCTCCAGTAGTGGCTGTGTGTTCCCTCCAGTAGTGGCTGTGTTCTCCCTCCAGTAGTGGCTGTGTGTTCTCCCTCCAGTAGTGGCTGTGTGTTCCCTCCAGTAGTGGCTGTGTGTTCCCTCCAGTAGTGGCTGTGTGTTCCCTCCAGTAGTAGCTGTGTGTTCCCTCCAGTAGTGGCTGTGTTCTCCCTCCAGTAGTGGCTGTGTTCTCCCTCCAGTAGTGGCTGTGGGTTCTTCCTCCAGTAGTGGCTGTGGGTTCTTCCTCCAGTAGTGGCTGTGTGTTCCCTCCAGTAGTGGCTGTGTGTTCTCCCTCCAGTAGTGGCTGTGTGTTCCCTCCAGTAGTGGCTGTGTGTTCTCCCTCCAGTAGTGGCTGTGTGTTCCCTCCAGTAGTGGCTGTGTGTTCCCTCCAGTAGTGGCTGTGTGTTCTCCCTCCAGTAGTGGCTGTGTTCTCCCTCCAGTAGTGGCTGTGTGTTCTCCCTCCAGTAGTGACTGTGTGTTCCCTCCAGTAGTGGCTGTGTGTTCCCTCCAGTAGTGGCTGTGTTCTCCCTCCAGTAGTGGCTGTGTTCTCCCTCCAGTAGTGGCTGTGTTCTCCCTCCAGTAGTGGCTGTGTGTTCTCCCTCCAGTAGTGGCTGTGTGTTCCCTCCAGTAGTGGCTGTGTGTTCTCCCTCCAGTAGTGGCTGTGTGTTCCCTCCAGTAGTGGCTGTGTGTTCCCTCCAGTAGTGGCTGTGTGTTCTCCCTCCAGTAGTGGCTGTGTGTTCCCTCCAGTAGTGGCTGTGTGTTCCCTCCAGTAGTGGCTGTGTGTTCTCCCTCCAGTAGTGGCTGTGTTCTCCCTCCAGTAGTGGCTGTGTGTTCTCCCTCCAGTAGTGACTGTGTGTTCCCTCCAGTAGTGGCTGTGTGTTCCCTCCAGTAGTGGCTGTGTTCTCCCTCCAGTAGTGGCTGTGTGTTCCCTCCAGTAGTGGTTGTGTGTTCCCTCCAGTAGTGGCTGTGTTCTCCCTCCAGTAGTGGCTGTGTTCTCCCTCCAGTAGTGGCTGTGTGTTCCCTCCAGTAGTGGCTGTGTGTTCTCCCTCCAGTAGTGGCTGTGTGTTCCCTCCAGTAGTGGCTGTGTGTTCCCTCCAGTAGTGGCTGTGTTCTCCCTCCAGTAGTGGCTGTGTGTTCCCTCCAGTAGTGGCTGTGTGTTCTCCCTCCAGTAGTGGCTGTGTGTTCCCTCCAGTAGTGGTTGTGTGTTCCCTCCAGTAGTGGCTGTGTTC